AATCAAAATAGCAAAACCCCTTTTCAACATTTTCAAACCCTAACTTTCCAAAATTAACCATTTAACAAAATGCCCAAAAATCTAGGTTAAAACCCATAGAAGTGAGTAGGAATCCCTACCTCAAATGATGACACCCAACGAAGAAGATGAAAAAAACAGAAATGCTCCAAATCCCGAGATTCTTGGATCAAAAGATAGCCCTCGACGATCAACAACTTTTTTTGTAAAGGCCAAAGGTGAGGAGACAACTCCTACTAGATCAATACCTAGAGAAAAGGCAAGGTTCTAGAGAGAGAGGCTTTGAAATGGCGTTTTGGAAAAGTAATAGAGAGAGTGGAAGTGTAGAAAATGATTAAAAAATGCCTAGCTGCCCTCTGTTATACGACATTCCCGATCGAGCGGAAAACAGGACGCTCGAGCGTCACGCACAAAAAACTAGACACGCTCGACCGCAAGAAGGCCCGCTCGAGCGCCAAGACACAAGAATAAAGTACATCCGCTCGAGCGCGAAAACCAGTCCGCTCGAGCGTAGATTTTCATCTCCCAGAACTTTTCAGAAAGAGAATTGCCCGCTCGAGCGCCAACAAGCCCGCTTGAGCGCGACCCGCTCGAGCGCAGTAAACCCGCTCGAGCGTAGAAAACACACATGCAGAAGTTTTGCTGGGACACGAACTACTAGAAGGGTGTAAACCACGCTCGAGCGCAGAATGACCCGCTCGAGCAGACCATACAAAAACTGGGCAACAACAATGGGAGCCAAAGCTCTACCAACCTGTAACAACCAAGCCCAACACAACCTATAACTCAAACAAAGGGAATCAAAAGACGACAACAAGGTAGATACAACTACCAACTCCACAGAACCAAGCTCCGGAATACAACAGATATAGAAAGGGAAAATCGGGATCACTATAACCTTTCCCCCTTAAAGAATTTCGTCCCCGAAATTAAATACAGGTTTTTCAAAAACAAGATTTTCTCAATTCCCAACATTATTACAATGCGAAATTTAACAACTTGACCCATTACCGGTCTTTCTTTCTCTATTCAAGAGGCAATTCACCACATATCTCAATATGTATCAACAACATGCTTTTCCCGAAATTGAATAATTTCTACATACATGTTTCACAATTTTATATCATATTCAACATTCATGATATATCTCTATTTCTACAATACATTGAACATATGCAATGTTATAACAAATTTCCATTAACCAAAACATTCACAATGTTTTACAACTTAAGACATATATAATGCTCTTAAAGTTCAACGATATTACAAAATTACCAATGCATGGTTACACATCAACAAACAAGTCCGGATATTTCTCGTGGACTTCCAACTCACGTTCCCAAGTGGCTTCCTCCACTCCATGATGTTTCCACAAAGCCTTTACCAAAGGAATGGTCTTGCCACGCAGGACTTGATCCCGCCTATCCAAGACCCGAACCGGTCTCTCTTCGTATGAGGCATCCTCATCTACCTCTAAGTCGGTCCAATCTAACACATGGGATGGATCCGACTCATACTTCCGAAGCATACTCACATGAAACACATCATGCACTCTGGACAACCGCGGTGGCAAAGCTAAACGATAAGTAACCTCCCAAATCCTCTCAAGGATCTCAAGGGGACTAATAAACCGAGGGGATAACTTCCCACTCTTCCCGAACCTCATCAAACCTCGCCTAGGTGATATTTTCAAGAAGACATGATCACCTACCTCAAACGCCAAAGGCCTCCTCCTACGGTCAGCATAACCCTTTTGGCGACTCTGGGCTGTAACAAGCCTCCTACGGATAAGCTCAACTTTCTCCGTCGTCTCCCTAACCAACTCCGGACCCAACAAAGGTGCATCACCCACCTCGGCCCAACACACAGGAGACCTACACGGTCGGCCACACAAGGCCTCAAACGGTGCCACACCGATGCTAGACTGAAAACTGTTGTTGTAGGCAAACTCCACCAAGGGCAAGTGCCTCTCCCACGTCCCACTAAAGTCAAGGACACAACCTCGAAGCATATCCTCAAGGATCTGAATAGTACGCTCGGACTTCCCGTCAGTCTGAGGATGATAAGCCGTACTAAAGGTCAATTTAGTGCCCAAGGCACTCTGCAAACTCTGCCACAACCTAGCAGTAAAACGAGGATCTCTATCTGAGACAATCGTCACTGGGATCCCGTGCAATCTCACTATGTCCCGAATATACAAGTCGGCGAGATGATCTACCGAATCTCTCACGCGCATAGGGATAAACTGCGCCGACTTAGTCAACCGGTCTACAACCACCCAAATGGCATCACTACCCCGCTGAGTCCTCGGAAGACCTACAACGAAGTCTATAGTGACATGCTCCCACTTCCACTCGGCAATAGGCAAGGGTTGCAACAAACCCGCTGGCCTCTGATGCTCAGCCTTCACTTGTTGACAAGTAAGGCACCTTGATACGAAAACAATCGCATCACTCTTCATACCCCGCCACCAAAACTGGCGACCCAAATCTCGATACATCTTAGTGCCTCCCGGATGCACCGCAAGGCGTGAATGATGGAACTCTCGGAGTACTTCCTCTCGGCAAGACTCCGGCACAAACCAACGGTCTCGCTATCTCACACTCTGGTCGGGATACACCGTCAAACCCTTCTCAACCTTCCCACTGGAGATCTTCTCTCGGAGGGATTCTACCTCAAGGTCACCTCTCTGTGCCTCTAACACTCGGGTCATAAGTGTAGGCTGCGCAACAACAGAAAACAAGGCCGCAGCCTCAACAGATTCGCCCAGAAGCAAATCAAACTCGCCAAGTGCACCCAACATCTCCCATTCCCGGATGGCTATACAAGCTACATCACTAATGGATTTCCTACTAAGGGCATCGGCCACAACATTGACCTTTCTCGGGTGATAGTGCATCTCAAAATCATAGTCCTCAACGAACTCCATCCATCTCCTCTGCCTCAAATTCAAGTCTCTCTGTGTAAACAG